CACCACTATTGGATGATTTGGCACGGTGGGGAGATCACTTAAAATTATTTTAAACTTGGAATAATTAATTGATAAATGAATAAAATAAGTGTAACGATTTTATAATGTTAAAAACATAAACAAAATCCACAAATAATATTCAACAAATTCAAATGTTCACACCCAAAAATAATACAATAAGTAAGAATTAAAACCTACTCCCGGTTGCGATCACGGGAGGATTTAGCCGTGCATTGTAGACTTATACAAACTCATATTTGTATTCTTGAATTCTTGATGTCTTGATCTTGAATCTTGAAAAGTCTTGAATCTTTGATGGCTTGAATTCTTTGAAAAAGATAGGAATTTTGGAAGACTAAAATGCTTCCAAAAAAATATAGAAATTTCCTAAAGAAGGTGGTGGTATGAAAGTAGGTTGGTATAAGAGGTATATGAGGTGTGTAAGAATGTAAGAGAGTGTGTTGAAATGGTGATTTTGGGGTGGTATTTATAGTGAATTTTTGGAAAATTAAATATCAAAAAGAATGAAATAAAGCTAGGAATATTAAGCTTTTAGATTGGATCTAAGATCCAATCTAAATCTCATGAAAAAGAATTCAAAAGAATTAAAAAGATGGAATTATTTGGTTTTGTTGGGAATAACCGGTTAAACCGAATAAAAACACATAAAATAAAATCATTTACATAATAAACTTTGGTGATTTTTTTCAAATATAATTAGTTTTCTCTAAATAAAAACATATGGTAAATGTTATAAAGTTTTTTGATGTGTTTGTATTCATCTAAAACTATATTTTGTTTCGGTATTATACTTTATTTTCTTTTTGACGTATATGGATTGATGTAAAACACTAAAACTTACGGTTATGTGTTATTTTAATGTATTTGGATTCATCTACAACGTATTTTTATGTGTATTTTTAATGTTTGAACTTGTAAATATCAAATTCATACTTTATATATGTATGTATATGTAGGAAAATAGAAAAAAAACATGATAACTATAGAAACCGGTTCACCCGGCGGTCGAACCGGTTGAACCGTGAACCGGTCACCATACCGGTTCAACTAAAAAACCGGTTTTTAAAACATTGGCCAAATATGATAAAAGAAAATATAAATGTGTATATAAATTGTGGGTCTTGATATTTCCACTTATGAATTTCATCTATTCACTTAAAAGGTATATTGACTCTTTTACCCCCTGAATTTAAAATCGAGGCGATAAAGAAAATGTCTTGACTTTAATATTGAAGAAAAAGAAAAGAAAAACCGTTCAAAAATCCAAATAACACGTTCACTATTTTAAAAAAAAAATTATGTTGAGTTTTTTTCTTAAACTGTTCAGTTGTTTAAAAGAAATCATATATTAAATCTTATTTAGTTTATGGCATCTATTAAGAAGAAATAATTTTGTCACTATTTTTCCAAATAAACACTTGTGTATTGGACAAAACCTCTAAGGCTTGAGGGAGTTGTGCTGAGGGTAGGTAATGCTCGTAAATGATGTTAATTGACCTTCCGTTACCGATGTATATCCTATTAATCATAATTCTTTCTAACACCCCCCCCCCCCCACCTAATATAATCGGTATCTTGATGGTCGAAACATACCATATCATGATGAGTAAACTATATGCTAACCCACATTCTCTTTTTAATGAGCCTAAAATCATGTTCCCCTGAATTGTCATAACTTTCGTGTCATACACCACTGTTTCTTCCTTCTTCGGGACTTGCACAACCCCTTGCTTTGGTAATCGACTTTTTTCCTTCTCTCTTTTAAGGATCTCGCAATCTGCTGTTGCATGCCCTTAACTTTTTTTTGGAAATCACGGTATTGGTTAGGATCTCTAGGGTATTTCCTACTCGTATCATTGTTATTTTCTTTAATCGGGCTTCTTGGTGAGTATGCCTCATACGCTTCTTGGCAGTATGATTGAAACCTATCATGTTGTCTTCCCCTACCCATGTATGAAGATTTCTAGTTTTGATTAAAACGAGGGTTATCTCCTGTTGGTGGCATGTTAGGCTACCATGATCGTTCTTCTTTTCTTCCCCCAATGACCGTGGCTTTTCATTCCATTCTATCTTTCTCGACACTTTTCCGCTTCTTGTCTCAAGAATCTATTAACTTTTCTTATCATTTCATCGACATTAATCCATTCTCTTCCCTACTAACTTTCGGAACAAGTCTCCTTCTAATAACCCATAGGCGAGGCTTCTATAATCATGTGATCATCACTGGTAGACATCTTCTTGTTGATTTCGTTGAACCTTTTAAAGTAAGCATTATTAGAATCTCCTTCTCGTTGTCTGCATGAAAATATAACATGCTCTTTGTTATTGAATTCTTCTTTGCAAAATAAAGCTATTACCAAATTTTTGACATAAATCCACGAAACTTCCTTGCTCTTCGGTGGCCAATTGGCCGACCAATATTGACTAGGACCGTAGAGAGTTCTTGCAAAGTATAAACTCCATAACTTCGGATCCATAAGAATCATTTTTATCACCCATTGGCATGTTTTGTGTGTGTAGAAAATATGTTACAAAAACTGTCCATGTAATTTACAGAAAAGATTCATGTGTTTAAGACTTTCATATATTGATAGGTTTGTTCTCCGTGTAGAAATAAAATTACAAAAATTGTCTCTATAATTTACAGAAAAGGTCACTGTGCATATTTTTTTTATTGAAACAATTCATATGTTAAAAAAATTACAAAAAATGTACGTGCCTAATAGAAAATTTAGAGATTACGATTCCGCAAAAAGAATGTAACATCACCCTAGTTACCTATAATTAGGCTAATGAGTATGGTGATGTTTTTGTCCCACATAAGCATTTATCTTTCTTGTCAATATTGTCTATGAATGAGGTGTGATGATTTTTTTTTGGACAAAATTGCAAAAATAGTCCCTGTGGTATGTATTTTTTTGGGGTTTTAGTCCAAACCACGACTTTTTTGGATTCGTGGTTTTTTTGAGGTAGTTTCGTTGCGGTTTTGGTCACTCGGTAAACTGAAATGACTGTAATGCCCTTATGTTATTTTTTTAATGTTTTTTCTATTTAATTTAAATTAAAAAGAAAATAAATAATTCATCTACTGATAAAATGTGTCCTTTTTGCATATTGGAAACCAAAGCAATTTCTCCGATGAAATTATCAGATATTCACTTCTCTGACTAAATTGTTGATACTCCTTACGTTCAAGGATTTGGTTTGCCTCTGATGAAACACACAAGCTCTTCAGGAAACCAAATCGATGATTTCTCTGGTGAAACAAACCAAAAAACTGTTCAAGAAGCCAACATTGTTCATTAATGACACAATCAATAAAGCCCAGATCAATGGAACATTAACCCGTTGATTCCAGTGAAGAAACCAGACGTTGTTAACCTGTATTTAGAAACCAACTAAAAATATTAAATCAAGCCCTAAATCTCTTCAATAAACCCCATAATTGAATGTTTGTAGAGGTTACCTCATTTTTGTTATTCTTTTGTGACAAGTCGAATTGGGTGGTGGCGTTGATTTAACGGAGGAGGTAAGTGGTGAGGTTGGTTTACCGGAGGATGTGGGTTACGATGGTGAATTGTGAGGGAGAGGGTGAGATGAAGGAGATAAAGGGAGCCGACAATTCCAAGATTCTTTTGTGGATTGATTTTTAATATGATAAATTGCACGTTTTGCTTCTGATTTTGCATACCCATCATCCCCCTGTCCATCCATAGGTTTATCTTCTCCCCTTCTGTTCATATATAATTTGTTTTTGCCCTAAATCACTGAATCAGTGTATGTATGTGTTGAAATCGGCGAGGATGGCCTGCTGGAGACGGCTGTTTGTGGGTTTTACTCGAATCTTGGCGAGAACCTCTTTCTTTTCCAGGGTTCTTGCGACGAGGGTCTTTAGCTCCATCATTTCTCAAGTGTAATCATCCATCATGGGATGATTTTTGGGTATGTAAAGTGTGATCCAAGAGAACAAAACGGGTTGTGATTAATTTGGAGAGAGAGAGAGAGAGAGAGAGAGAGAGAGAGAGGAGAGAGAGAGAGAGAGAGAGAGACCTTCTTATTTTTTAATTAAATAATATAAATAATTATTTGATTTTAAAAAAATGAAAGAAAATAGAAAATAAATACCCCAAGGGTATTATAGTCATTTCAGTTTACTGAGAGACCAAATGTACAATGAAACTAGCTCAAAATGACCACCAATAAAAAAAAGTCGTGGTTTGGACTAAAACTCCAAAAAAATGCATACCACAGGAACCATTTTTGCAATTTTGTCTTTTTTTTTTGCCTATGAACTTTGTATTTTTTAAATAAAAAATAATTTAAGTATTTAACAAAAACCATTAGTATTAATTAAAATAAAATATAAATTTCATCAAACAAAAAGATTGAATTTTACATTTTAGAAAACCTAAAAAACATTAACATGAAATTAAAATTACATTAGAAAAATTAAAGGTTTTGGAATTGAAATTGTTGTTGCAACGGGTTGACGTTTGATGGAAACAATTTTTATGGTTGACATCGGATAACATAAAAGCTTTCAATCCATAGGTTCGTTCTATTTAAAAAATATATACATGCTTACTCTTACTCAAAATTCCATCTAAGATATAATAATAATATATTTAGGTATCGAACTCTTTATATGTATATATGATTATATTCCATTGAATTGTAAAAGAAATGTCAAACATATATTATAATGGTACGTGGTATTAATTTCAGCCCAATCTATACTTTTCTCAAGCAAAACCCAGCCCAAAGATATCCTCTTCCATTTAAAACAGCAAACACAACCCGCACAAACATTCCTTCGAAAAAAAAATTATAAAAAAATAACACTGAAGAAATACTTCCATGTCGAAATACCGACCACAAAACACCCACTACACGCTAGAGTCTTAAGTATCTGCACTTTCTTGGAATTTACCTTCTCCTTATAAATAAATATTAATAATACTTTAAAAGAATGAAAAGAAAAGCAACACCTGTGAACCTCTCGTCAATCGTAAGGCAAAAGAAAAACCCATCATCCTCGTTCACTCTCCTCTACATATGGCCGTCTCCCTTCCTCCTTGACTCGCCGTTTACCTGCCGACTTACCGTTTTCATTCATCTTTCTCAGCCTCGTCACTGTTGGTTCATCCTCTATCATCCCTGCTTCAGATCTCGCAGGTTAACTACGAAGCCACATTCTTACAAGTTAGTTTCAGATATTGTTTGACAATTTTTTTTATTAATCATAAGTCAACGTCATAATCAATTGTTTATTTCGCGAACATGTGATTGGATTTTTTTTTTCTATTTCAGTTACTTTTATTTAATATTATATATCAATTAGGATAGCAGACACTCTTTTTAGAGTAAAGTCCACTACTCCAGAATCATGAACAGAAATTCGTGCAATTGGGAAATTTTTCAGCGCTACAAAATTGCTTCCTCAATTCCTTTATATTTTCAAGGAAATTTGAGGATCTGTGTGTCAAGAAGCTTCTTTTTTTCCTGTTTGGATCTTCAAATTACTGGTTGTTGATATGGAGTGAAAGCTTGAAATTGCCTATATCTTATGCAATTCCTTTCATGGGAGGCAATCGTGGATCTTGTAGTTGTACCCAGAATGGTATTTGGTGTTGATTTGTTGGTTTTTAAAATCAAAATGTTGACTTTAAAGGTTAAATGAATAAATTGCTTCGATATTTTTTTTGCACCTGAACTTAATTAGCTGGAAAAATAGGTTAACCAGTTCAATTAGTGGAGTAACTGTTTTCTAAATAATTCCCATGGCAATGTAATTGTTACTCTGTATCAATACTTCGCTATACCTTTTTCCATTTAAAATAAGAGCAATCTCTCTTTGCTTGATTCACATACGTCCTTTGCACACAAAACAACCAAGGTTAGCACCAATTAAGCTATGAATCACCTTTGAGCTTGAAAATTAAATCGAGGGTTAAAACACACATATACATATTATCCAATGTATAGCTCCAATATCAACTCTAAACTCAAAGTCTGGGGGTAAATATTCCCAAATTAACACAATTAGAGTTCATATAATGAAATTTAAACATTTTCTAGGCATGTTAGTTCACATGGCAAAGTTCAGAGATGCATATGTATTGTATTTTAATTACTTAAAATTTTTATTTTTTAGGAATTCAAAGTTATTAATAATATTATTATTGAGGTTTAATTTGTTTGATGAGATTTACGTTGCATATTGTAAATACTAATAATTTGAATTCTTTTGTAGAGGCATTATGTACTGGATCCTGACATTGAAGCACAAGTGAGGAAAACTGGTGAAACCAACTTACATTATTGATAACCTGTGAAGTTTCAGAGCTTACTTAGGTACACCTGCATTTAAGAAGAACCTTTAAATAAATACTCAAAAAGGTGGGAAGGGTGAAGAGTCATCAACACACAACTCATAATGGTTGTTCTATCTGAACTTCCAGAAGCATCTTCATCAACTCATGGCCATAGTCCATCAACTTCTGGTCCTAGTTCATCAACTGATGGTTATAGATATGATGTATTTTTAAGTTTTAGAGGTGTTGACACCCGTCATAGTTTCACTGATCACCTTCATAAGGCCCTCATTGATGCCAATATCACTGCCTTCTTGGATGATGAAGAGATTGAAACAGGGGAAGATCTGAAACCAGAATTAGAGAGTGCAATTAAGGCATCTCGGGCTTCTGTTATTGTGTTGTCTAAAAATTATGCTTCTTCAACATGGTGTCTGGATGAATTGGTGTTGATCCTTGAGCAGCGTATGACATACAACCATATTATCATCCCCATCTTTTATCATGTGGAGCCCACCCATGTCAGGAAGCAACAAAGTAGCTTTGGAGATGCAATGGCCGAGCATAAGCAGAAGATGGAGAGGGAGACAAATGCAAATAAGAGGAGTCAATGGGCTCAAAAGATGGATAGGTGGAATAAAGCGCTTACAGAAGTTGCTGATTTAAAAGGGAAGGACGTTACTGGCAGGTAACCACATATTCACTCATGTAAAAAATGTCAATAACATCTTCACCATATGCATTTCAGTAAGTTTATTTTATTTTATTTTTTATTTATTTATTTTATTATTATTATTATTTTAAATATCATTGAATAGACATATATTTGATATGGTAGGATAACAAAGATGCACAAAATTGAATCCATGTTATCTGATCTCATAAATCAATTTATATAGATAGATTAACTATTCTGATATTTTTATACGTTTTTCATGCATTTATTTATTTTAAACAGCTCCTTGGACGAGAATTGTAACTTCAACCCCTTGGACGAGGAACACGTTTTCCAACTCCTGATAATGCTGAGCGATAAGCCCTTTGGTTTATGCATATAGTATTTAAAACAGGAAGACACAACAATTAGAAAGGAAGAGATCATGCCACATCATATATTAGCGGTTTTAGGTTAACTAGCTGCATTATTTGGTCCTTATTTAAAATGTCATTGTATATTTTGTATAACTATAACATTGTTGCATAAACAGGGAAAAAGGCGAAATGTTGTTGCATAAATAACCAATTAACCCTTTTGTTAAAAACCAGATACGTTGCTATACATCTACTATTAGTTATATTGTACTACCTTCAAATCATAGCATCTTTTATGATAAATAACTTCTGTTGTAAGTAGTAACGGATAACCTACAGGCATTCTTTTGAGACTCACCACATTGCTAGTTGAGTTTTACGGTCTTGTAGAAACGTAGTCAAGTTACAAGGCCCATTAGTGAAAACTTGTATTACACCGGTAGTTTTGGTCTTATTATACATAAATATTTATGACCTTACACATTAGATATGTATATGATTAGAATGAAAAGACAATATGGTTTGATGAGAAGAACTTAATTAAAAGTTTAAAACTAATAGTTGTTGTGAAGGAATCAGATTTATGGAATATTATCTTGTCATTGATAAAGATATTAAACCCTCATTTATAAATCAACTAGTACCTAAAACAGGAAAATAGAAATAAAGTAACCTAAAAGCAAATAAACCCTACTTTACATATATCTAACACTAACACTCGTGATATAATTTTGATTTGGATCTTTATATAAATAAAATCACCAAATTTGTTTTGTTAGTTTTGTGGATTGTGCTTTGTAATTCTTATTAAATCATGTTTCAGGCTAGAGACGGAGTTTATTGAAGAAATTGTGAAGGACATCCATCGTAGATTACATGCACCGTTAAGAAATGCTCAACAACTATTTATTGGGATGGACTATCATATTAACTTTGTGACTTCATGGTTGAAAGATGGATCCTCACATACGGTGGACATACTCACTATTTCGGGTATAGGAGGAATCGGGAAGACATCTTTAGCCAAACATGTCTATGGGCTATATTCTCATGAATTCCACAAAAGCAGCTATATTGAAGATATCTCTAGGAGATGTGATGGAAAGTATAATGGGCTGCTTGATATACAAAAGCAACTGTGCGGTGACATTGCAAAAACAAGTTCAATTCAAGTTTATGATGTTTCAAAATACACATCAATGATAGAGAATGCAATAGCTCGTAAAAAGGTGTTTCTTGTTCTTGATGATATCAACACTCTTCATCAGTTGGATGCATTACTTGGAAGCAAAGGTTTTCATCCTGGAAGCAAGGTTATAATAACGGCAAAGGACAGATGCTTGACAGAGAGTTGTGCACTATTCAAAACAAACATTAAACCCAAACATACAAAACACTTACTTCATGGCTTAAATGAGACTGAATCACGACAACTTTTGTGTTCCCATGCATTTATGTGCAACCATCCCAAGGAAGGTTATGAAGAGGTGTCTGGTAAGCTTTTGGAGTATTGTCAAGGACATCCATTGGCTCTTGAAGTTTTGGGCAAGCTTCTTCATAATCGAGGTGTGGTGTATTGGGAAGGGTGCATGAAAGGGCTAAAGAAAGAAACAAATGATCGTATAAATAATGTCTTGAGAATGAGCTTCGACTCTTTGCCTTCCAAAAACGATAAGGAATTGTTTAAGCATATTGCTTGTTTTTTTGTTGGAATAGATAGAGATCTTAGCGAAACAATATTGGAGGCATGTGATATAAACACAGGATCCGGAATTACGAATCTCATTGATAAATGTCTTCTTAGTATTGGACGGAATAATGAATTGAAGATGCATCAGTTGGTTCAAGAGATGGGAAGATTCGAAGTAGATCAAGAATCACCTGATAAGCCATGGAAGCGGAGTCGATTATGGTGTCATAAGGAGTCATTCAGAGTCTTGAAACGAAAAAAGGTAAGAAGCCATTATGCTTTTAGTAGTGTGCATGTCCAAAATACTTTGTATTGCCTATTTTGTTTATTTGCATTCTGTTTCTTCTTAGGGTAAGGGAAATCTTCTTGGCCTTGCCCTTGACATGCGCATGCTTGAGAAAGAGAAGTTGGGAGCATCGTATGAGTTGAAAACAGATGCATTAAGTAACATGGATAATTTGATGCTACTACAACTCAATTATGTGCACATGCATGGGTCTTATGACTCTTATGAGAACTTTCCAGAAGAAATAAAATGGTTGTGTATGAATGGGTTTCGTTTAAAGTCTATACCTTTAGAGTTACCTATGCAGAATCTGGTTGCCCTTGACATGTCATATAGCAATATTGAATCATGTGTCGGTTGTTATAGCAATCCACAACGACTTGAGAAGAGGCAAAAGGTAAAGTTATCTTCATTTATTAGTCATGCATGTGAGTTGATGAAATTCAATACGATTCTAACTTATTTTCATTTTGTAGTTGGATGGCTCATGCTTAAAAGAGAAAAGGTTGTTTGGTTCACTGAAGATTCTTAATTTAAGTTTCTGCACACAACTTCATAGTATTGGTGATTTTGACCAACTCCCTGCGCTTGAGAGGTTAATACTTAGAAATTGCATTGGTTTGGTTGATGTTTGTGAATCAATTGGGCAATGTGTTAGACTTATCCTCATCGATCTGAGCGACTGCATGAAACTTGAAAAACTTCCAAGAAATATAGGCATGTTAAACAAGGTTGAAACATTGTTGTTAGATGGTTGTAATCTTGGTGAATCTGGAATCAAGAATATGGATATGGATTCACTGGAAATACGCACGGTTACCAACATTGGCATAAACAGAGTCTTTATGGGTTGTATACCACGTGATTTGAAGTCCTCTGCAATGTCTTTACCGAGGTCTTTAGTAAGGTTGTCACTTGCATATAATAATATGTCCAATGAATCCTTTCCATTGGACTTCAGTTGTCTATCCATGTTAAAGGAATTATATTTAGATGGCAATCCTATCAATTCCATGCCAGGTTGTATGAGAACCCTTCCTGGACTTGAGATACTTAGTATGAATATGTGTAATAATTTGAAGTCAGTCGAGTATCCTCCACGTACACTAAAAAAGTTGCTTCTTAGTGTTAATTATGGGTATCATCCAAACAAAGTTGTATTTGTTCCAGAAATGTCCCCACTCCGGTTATCAATAGGCTGGTTAGAGTGGCCATCTTTACTTGGGTTGAACGATTATGAAATTGAAGGTATGATCAAAATACAACAAATGATGAGTGTTGAAGAAAAGGTGTTACGTAGCTTGGGCTGGAGTAATTTAGACTTCCTCAACGAAAGGCATGTGGGAACTAATTCTTCAGAATCTGAAATCCAGGTTTTGTCTAGTTAACTTAACTGTCTGTTTATGTGAAGACATATAATGTTAATTATTATGGTGGTTTGTATTTGGCAGATGATGATTTATGAATTTGGAATATTCAGCATGCTGTATGAGGCGGAGGAGATGCCGAGTTGGTTTAGGCATAGAAGCTTGGGGCCATCAATATCTTTTACCATCCCATCATCATCATCAAACAACCTCCTTACAGGGCTCAACTTCTGCTCTTTGCACACATTCATCTTTCCTGATGAGGGGTTGGATTTATCAGATTATGATCCTTTACCTTGGAATGCAATGATGACAATTAGTAATATAACAAAAAACCGTACGTGGATATACGAACGTTACGTTCATAGATTTATTGTACTTCGAAAGTGTTGGGTGATGTTAAGTCATTGGATGTTTGGGAAGAATGAGATGGAGGCTGGTGACCACATTACTATCACTGTTGCACCGCAGAGGCATGTACCTTTAATAGAAGAAGTTGTAAAGGAGTGTGGGGTGAGTCTTGTGTATGACGATATAGACAACAAGATGGATGAAGAGGAAGATGCATTGGGTTATTACAAGTCATGGAATCACATAATTGGTGGAGATCTCTCTCCTTTTCAAACAACAACCGGAGAATACATCTTAGAAAAAGGGCGGTTTTCTTCACATGGCATTCTATTGTCTCCCTATCATCGTAAATTCGTTCCAAACGGCCCCGACTTTCAAGGTAGATTTCATTTATTAAAATATTTTATTGTCATGTCTTATGTGTAATGATCTGACCCATGACCCAACTTCTTTAGAAAGATGGATAATGACCCATTTAGTTTTAGTAGATAAATACATGTTTTATATAACCGAAATCCACCCACCCATTTATCATTCATTTTATTGACCTCTACTATAAAGTTTGTTCTAGTAAAGTATGACAAATCAAATTCCTACGACAGATTTTTTCTTCCTGACATTAAAGTGTTTCCCTATCTTAGTAAATTCGTTGCACACGGCCCTTACTCTAAAGGTAGATGTGATTTTTGATAAATATTCTATTGTAATGTCTTATGTATAATGATCTTGTCTATGATCCAACTTCTTTAAATAGATGAATAATGACCCATTTTTTTAAGAGATAAATAAATGTTTCACGCCCAAATCCACCCATTTATCGTTGATGTTATTGACCTCCACCATAAGAGTTTGTTCTTACAAAATATGAATAATAAAATTTCTACTTCTGCCTTTTAAATGAATCGACCCAAGTAGTGCTCCGTCTGAATTTGTCTATGTTAACCGATTAAGTCTTTATATGTTGGATCACATAAATATATCAGGACCCAGTACAAACTACTTTGTCCATGTTGATGTTTGTGAATAATAATTAACACATAACTTTTTATCTGTGAACACAGAACAAAAGGAAAAGTGTTGGTTCAGAGCTTTATCCCCAGGGAAGGCTGACATACTTGGTCGTGCATGCGAGGTATACTTTTTGACACCCAAACCTTTCTCTCATCACATGAATAAAGGGCATACACACCCAAGTATATTATATATCATATCTTTGATTTGTTTAGGATGTAACAAGATAAAAGGAGTCATAGTCTTGCAATCAATGCTTGGAAATGGCAATATCAAAATGTGTTTGGGCTGATATGATGGGAATTTGTCTGATTTTCTTTACCTATTTAATATTAGAGTCAGGAATTATGGATCCCTATTTCCTCCATTTAGGGCTCTAAATTCATGGTTTTTATCAAGTTCTTTTGGTTTTATTTATTTATGTTTGTTTTTATGTCAAATACATGATATCTTAAGCATTTATTGTCAAATACATGATAACTTCTTTGTAAGAAAATCCAAAATTTCATCACATTTTTTGGAACCCAACTTTCCTCAGCCCTTATTTTTGGTTAATATACAGCAAATGCACAAGGGTTCGGTTCATAGTTTGTATTTCCTCCAATAAACTTTATATAACCTTTGAAGTATTATTTGACTACCAGAGGTCATTAAATTCCCTTAATCATGTATTGGACTTTAACCAATAAGTTTTTAGTGTTATGCTACTTCTCCATGAACATCATGTATTTATTCCTAAGATCTTTAGATGTATAGATTACAATTCTCACTGTTTACATTTGACCTCCAAGAATAGACATAAATTTAATATTTATCTTTTTTCACTTGAAGCCTTTTCAACTTGCTAACAAGCAAGGGTTTCTGTTACAAGCCTCCGAAGCTGATGCTTTAAAATTGTTTTATTGTAGTCTTGTATTTTTATGGACATGTTCTGATCCTTTTGATTTTATTCTTTAACATGTCCCACATTTATTCAGTTGATTCAGATATATGTACAAACAAACTTAAAGAGATCTTGGTGTATTGTATTGCCATCTATGTATTTTCATAGCATTTTGTATCAGATCTCTATATACTTATGTTTCTTTAAAGATATTCTTACGTTTCCTTTTATCCGTAGGGTAAGGGGGAATCTTCAGGGTCTCATCCTTAACATGAAAATACTTGAGAAAGAGAGACTGCAGTACATGGCTGTCTGAATTCAAAATAGATGCACTTAGTCAGATGGGTAACCTAATACTACTGTAACTCAATGAGTTATATCCTAATCTTTTCCAGAATAATTAAGATGGTTTGGTTTTTGTCACCTCTGGTAACGATTTATCTTTTTGGTTATTGTTTTTGATAGCTGTATATTTGATTGCCAAAAACAGAGGAAAACTATATAAATGGTTTTTTATTTGATTAATACACGTGTAAAGTCGTAATGTTGTTTTTATTACTTTATATGTTTGTTATTTTGTTGATTTGCTTCATGTGATTGAAAGAAAACACTAAAATGTGATTGCTGAGTTGCTATGATTCTCATGGTTCAATGTTTTGCTGCTAGTTGTTCATACAGACCTTATTTGAATCTCTATCTTTTTCATTGGTTATTTTAAGAATAGCTTTTTTAATTTTTCATTCTTGAGAACCAAAATCGAAAAAGATATAGATAATCTTCATGAGTTGTCTTTTCTGGAAGTAAAATTAATGCAGAGGATGTCATTTTTTATGTTACTTTGTGGGATATGCCTTTACAGCAGCACCTTAACTGAACAATCCCATGACTTGCTTTTTGATCGATGTACTCTCATGTAATTGGTTTCTGTAGAAAATTCATTATAAAACAGAATACAATATCCTTATGCAAATATTTTACATGACATTCAACTTTTCTTTTTCCTAAGACAACAAACCTGCTACACTAGTTTTGATTCTCTTCTCCTTTTATGATTTGCATCTATTCATTTAGATATGCTATCAACCAACGGACAAAGTGACACATTAAGTGTATGCTCATGTCCACATGGTCCTACAAATAACCTTTGTCAACACTCAATAAAACTACAACCTCAAACCATGGAAACAAGTGGGCATGTACCTAGCATCCAACTTTTTGACTTCCTTTCTTGACCTTTGTAAACCACATGACTTGAAACTTCAGTCACATGTATTATTATCTCTGATTGTTTCATGACTTTCACCAAAATCTTGTTTGCTGCTGAGAAGCTCGGAGTCCACACCATGATTTGCTAGACACATGTTGCTTGTGGGGTTATTCCAGGAAAAAGTTTTAATGGAGAAACATGTCCCACTTAAATGTTAGATATATATTTCTAGTCTTATATACAAAATCATTATGCTTTCCCTTGACACTTTAAGTTATCCATCTTGTAAAATTTTATAGATGAAAGTTATGTAACAAGAATCCAATCACCCAAAAAAACAAAAATCTTCTCATAAAGACTCGTTAAATATTCGTAATGGTGAAAAAACAAAGGAAGAGAACATGTGAGTCAGAAAAAAAAAATAGTGAGGAAGAAGAACAATGATGAAGATGAGGGGAGGGAGGTAAGGGTGGGGGTTTATTTATTTATTTTTACGACTAAAGTTAGTTAAAAACAGGTGATTGAAATTAAGAAGGGTATAAATGCAATTTTATATGAGTCAAGGATCAAAGATGCAAGAAATTGAAAACACAGGCATTATTCGCATAAAAAAAAGTTAGGGACTAAATTTGTGATTTCTGTAAATCACAGGAACCATTTCTGCATTTTTTTTTCTTCTGTTTAGTACAACATTATACCTCCATTTTTTTTCTTATTAAGGCATTGTACTTTTCAAGATCTACATAATAGTAGCATTGTACTTTCAATTTTTTTTCTTATTAGAATGACATACTATAAAAATATCTCCAATATAACAACACTAAAAATTGCTTTGTATTCGGATGACAATACTCTATAACAGGATAAATTTTTCAAAGTACAATGTTGCAATAGGAAGAAACTGAAAGTATAATTCTATAATAACAAAAAAAATAGCTCTAAAAACTTTGCAACAAACATCACCCTAGGGAATACACCTGGAAGCATATGACTACTCCAATTTCTCAAGGGAGTATTGCGAAGTGGTTTAACATATATGACACGGACCACTAGCAATCTCAAACTCATAACAATCAAAATGACCGAGATGCCCTCCACCATTTTGCATAGGTAGCCAACAATAGTGATAGAGAATATGATAAAGAAGGGTCTTATATAAAACAGGGTAATAGACAATATATATTTAAGATATTTAACAGTATTTTATTTATGTTATTCTAGATGGTACCAAAGTGTAATATCTAGTCATATATATAGGACCTCTATTGTAATCTTCATATCTTAAGAATTATACAAAATCATTTGGTGGCTTATTATGGTATCAGAGCCGCCACAGCCTCTATAACCCTAAATCACCGATTTTTTTCTTTTCTTTCTTCATTCAATCATTCTTCAATGGCGATGATCCAATCCTTTACTAATGTTGAGAAAACTACTCACAAATTCGCCTTTAAACTCTCACCCACCAACTACGGATTCTGGAAGCAAATGATTCAGCCCTTCTTGGTCACTAATCGTCTATTCGGTTATATAGATGGGACCATCCAATGTCCTCCACCGAAGACTATTGCAACTACTGACACGACCTCCACTGATAACCCTAGCTATCTTTATTGGATTACCAATGATGCACACGTGTGGATGCTTCTTGCCTCTACTATATCAGAAGCCTCCTATCAACATGTTCAAGGTACAACTTCCCTGGATCTATGGCTCTCCCTTGAAAGAGCCTATGCCCCCAACACCTCTTCTCTTAAATACACATTGAAGACTCAAATTTTGAAGATGGAGATGAAGGGTGATGAAACATCATCTGCCTATCTCACCCGAGCATAGGAATATGCAACCGCTTTAGCCAATATTGGAGAACCCGTAAAAGACAACGATATGAACATGCTAGCTATCTCCGGGCTACATGATGAATATAATGGCCTAAAGTCAAATCTGTTAGCTCGTTTCCCTCCAATAACCTTCCATGAACTGCATAGTTTGTTAATTGATCATGACTTTATGATAAATCGATCACTTCCAGCAGTACCCCAGCCCTTCACGGCTGCTCTCCCACCTGTTTTGCGCCTCCCAGCTGCCCCACCAGCACAATTGACTACTTTACAGCAGTTGGCAGCACAACCTGGCTACCAAATCAGCCCCATTATGGCTACAAACAATCAGACCCAAGCCTTTTATACCAACCGATCTTCAAACAATTATCGGGGCAAGCGTCGTGGCAACTACAACTGAAATCGTGATGATTTACGCGTTTCTGGTTCTGGTGGTAACACTCGTCAACCTCAGTTTGCTTGGGCTTCAACTCAGAATATGGTGTATGACCAGTATAACCGGTGTGACATAGGTCATATTCAAGCCCTATGCCCAAATCAGCCCACTTTAGCTTCAGTTTGTGACGTGACACAAGCCAATTATGCAACATTCTCATAAAATGGCTTGGCTGCCGGTTCAACATGATTTCCCGACACCGGGTCAAACAGTCACGTTACACCCGACTTCACAACTTTAGACAATGTTGATGCTTACAATGGCAAAAATTCTCTTCATGTTGGTGACGGTAATCCTCTCCATATTTTTCACATTGGTTCATCTAAACTATACTCTCCCAACAAAACCTTTAATCTATCTAATGTTCTTCATGTCTCTGAAATCAAAAAGAACCTTTTATCTAATCAACAATTCTGCTTAGATAATAACGTGTTTTTTTAATTTCATTCGTCCTTTTTTGTTGTGAAGGACGAGTCTACACGTTCCATCCTACTCACGGGACCAAGTAATCAAGGGCTATATTTGTTGTGTCTCCCAAAATTGAAGTCTCTTCCTCATATGTCTTTCACCACCATCAAAGCATCATCAACCACTTGGCATCATCGTCTTGGGCACCTTCATGCTCGTGTTTTTCAATCAATTATTTCTCGTAGTCATTTACCTATTTCTTCACATGTAATTTCCTCTTTATGTTCTAGTTGTCAAATGGGGAAATCCTCAAAATTGTCATTGCCACTTTCAAATTATCGTAGTAATCATGTTTTGGATTTGGTTTATTGTGATGTTTGGGCCCCGCCCCATCTACTTCTTTTAGTGGTCACCGACATTTTTTATTATGCGTTGATCATCATTCACGATACATGTGGTTTTACCCATTAGCTCAAAAATCAGATGTTTATATCACTTTTAAAAACTTTTTTCTCATGGTTGAAAGACAATTTACAACAAAACTTAAACAAGTTCAAACCGATTGGGGGGGGGGTGAATTTCTCAATGTTGCATCTTTCTTTACTTCTCTTGGTATAATCCATCGCCGTTCCTTCCCTCACACAAGTACCCAAAATGGCCTTGTTGAGCGGCATCACCGACATGTGGTAGAAACGGGCCTTGCTCTCTTTGCTCACTCACATGCTCCTCCACGTTTTTGGGACTTTGCTTTCGAGACGACGGTTTACTTAATCAACCATTTGCCCTCTCGCAATTACTACAACAAATCTCCTTTTGAGCATCTTCTCAATAAAACCCCAGATTATTCTTTCCTTAGAATCTTCGGGTGTCAATGTTTTCCGTATCTTCGCCCATATAACCGACATAAAATGGATTTTAGATCCACCCTGTGTGTCTTTTTGGGATATAGCCCTCTTCATCATGGCTACCGGTGTTTGGATCCAACCACTAATCGCATACACATTGCGCGACAGGTTAGTTTCAATGAAGAAATTTTCCCTTTTACCCCTTCTCCTACACCTTTACCTACTGAAAAAGAACCTCCTCATTTCTCCTCCTTTCCACAACCTCCACCCATTCCTGACACTCAAAATGCAACCCCAGATCCACCTACTACTGCAACTCCTTTTCAGCCCGCTGCAGCCCCGGTTACGCCCGCTGCTGCCTCTTTTCAGCCTTCTAACAACCCAAAAACTCAGTTGTTAACAAATCCCCAATATGGCGTCAAGCCATGACCTAAGAGTTTGATGCACTTGTCAAAAACGGAACTTGGTCTCTAGTTCCACTTGCTAAAAACACTAATGTCATTGATTCAAAGTAGGTTTACAGGATCAAAAAGGATGCAAATGGGAATGTTACTCGCTACAAAGCCCACCTTGTGGTGAAAGGCTTCAACCAACAATCGGGTGTTGACTACCAAGAGACATTCAGTCTCCTTGTCAAAGCAACAACAATCCGTTTTATTCTATCTCTTGTTGGGACAAATCAATGGTCTCTCAGACAACTTGATGTTAAAAACGCCTTTCTCTATGGTGATCTCAAGGAAACGGTTTATCTACGTCAACCACCGGGATTTGTTGATAAATCAAGACCTGGTCATGTTT